GGGGCTCTAGAGCACGTGGCTGCAGCCTGTGTGGGGGTAGGGCAGGCAGGGAGGCTGATTCAGGAACTGCTGCTGGCTGGTAAGTCTCCTGTCAGAGCCTACTTCTGGCACCCCAGTCCCTCCCTTCCCCAGCCTTGTACCCCCTACTCCACATACACATATTATCAGTCTCCCTCCTGTACCCACATCCTCTCCCAGATCTGGCACCCCAATTCTCTGCCCCACATCAGTCTCCTCCTGCCCTAGCTTATAACCCAAAGCCCTGCACCTCCTCCAGTACCCCAATTCCCTACCTTAGGTCACAATCCAACCCCTCCACTCCAGTCCAGTGCCCCAGGTCACAACTGCCTCCTTCACCCAGACTCCCTCCCTTACCCCAATCTCCCTTTTGCACCCAACCTCCATCCCAGATCCTGCATCTCCTCTATTAATATCATGGAAGAGTGCAGCCCTCAACCACTTTCCAAATTCTTGGAGGGCCTCTCCCACCCCCAATCAAAAATTATTGCCCAGCCCTGCAGTAGACCTTCCTTGGATGAGGAATGGGAAATGTACATTAATACTTTGATGCTAATTTTCGTGTACTAAGCATATACTGATAACTAATTGCATTCATTAGCATAATCATTCAGACAGTTCACAGGTAGTTTTACTAGGTTGAGTCACACATTTTAAAGAGAAATGAAGACTAATATTACCCCACAGGTCTCATTTAAATGATAATATCTCCATTTGATCTCTGACACAATAAACTATGGTAATGAAACATTATAGAAAGTTTAGCCTGTACATACTAATCAGGTCCCAGTGCTTTCAGGGGTGATGCAGCCTGCTGGTTGCTTAATTATCGCTGGTTTAGTGTCACATATGTTAAGCTATACAATTACACTTTGTTTATATAAATTTATTTAAGTATCCTACTGCTTAGCAGAAAGTATCAAATTAGGTGTGAGAGGCTCTATTTAGTTGCAAATTAATATGTTTTTAATAGCAATGAGAATGAGTTTTCATTAAGAAAATTAAAGTACAAATGCAAAACAAAAAGAAAATCTATTTAAATCAAGGTTTCCTGCTTTCTGCTTTAAACCACCGATTTTAATCACAATTTAAATCAAAGTAATTTAATATTTGGGACAGAGAAGTTATGCCCCCATTTTCCTCCTCTGAATATCCCTTCTAAACTTTTGTCCTTGTCCTCAGCTTTTTGTGCTGCTACTCAATTTGAAGAACTAGCTGTATTTCTTCAAAATGGGATTGAATACAAGTAGGAAGTTTAAATTTAATCAGCTGCTGGAGGAGCTGAGGTGTTCGCTGTGCTTCTTGTACAATGTCAGTGCCAATTTTTATTCCATTCTATTCCCTTTCTAGTCCTAGTTGGGTTCAGAAAGTGCAGCTGGTGCAGAAGTTTTGTCAGGAGTACAGCTAAGGAATTTCCTTACTTTGCTAGCGATCCACAGAAGTATCACTACAGCATTGGTTTTTCTGGAGTTTGAAAAAGAACTGAACACTTTGTTTCAAATTTTGAGCTCTCTTTTTGGTACTTTGCACCACATTTCAGTGTTTGGTGTCTAATGAAATACCTCCCAGAGTCTCCTGCCAGTTTATCTAAGTGCCTGAAAACTTTTTTGTTAAACTTCTGCAATTAGCGTGCCTCAGTTGCAGAATGAAGCTGTTATCAGTCTTGGGAGTGCCTGTTTGTTTTTCTGCAGAATACATCTATCAATTTTGAGGTTTGGTTTGCTTTCTCTGAATTTGAGTGGTTGCAAATACTGAGCTTTAAACAGAAACTTAGTGTTTGCCTTAACTGTGGAAGACCTGGTAGGCACTCTAATATTGTATATGGTTTTGGCTGTCTTTTTATGTAATTTAGTACCTGGAAACAAAATTAGCTATCTTTTTATGAATGTTCAGTGCTGGCTAGACCACAGTTTGGGGTGCACTGCCCTAAATCCATCCTACTCACCACTGACTAAACTGCATCCATTGTCCCAGGCATAAATGTTTAGTATGCTCATAGAGTCTTCCAGGTGCTATTGCCTTGTTTTGTCAACAGTAAACCTGGCCTGGTGTCTTCGTATGTTAATGCAGCGGTTCCCAGGAAAGGGGGAGAGGGAAATGACTGTAGTCTAACTAACCTATAGCTTATCAGTTAATGGACTATACTATTACATTCCTAATTTAAAGGTTCCAACCCTACTGATATTCCAGGTAGATGTCAGTATGATGCCAATTGATTGAATTGGGCTTTTTAGGTTGCTTTTTTAAAAACTCAGCATTGTATAGCACTTCTCCCTAGGTATTTTTGAAAAATCAAGTACTAGGAATTTCAAATTTGGCACCCAAAATTAGCTGACACCTTTTACCTTAATCTCTGTGTATTTCAGTTGCCTGTTGTGAGAATGGGAATACTACCCCTTCATTTTGTGAAAATAAAGTTAATATTTGTGAATCACCGGTACTGTAGTGATGAAAGCTTGTAGTGAGGTAGAGTGGCCTCCTACTGAGCCAGATAGGAGCCAGCCACTCTGGGAATACCGATGGATGGAGCCAGCCTGCTCTTGCCCCTCCACCCCCCAGAAGTCAGTGGAACAGGAAGTATAAAAGGCAGCTCCTGGTGCTCAGTTGGGCTGCAGCTGCTGGAGAAACTAGATGCCTCCTTCCTACTCTTGAGCTAGAAGACTGATATGGATTCTGGTGGAGCTGCAGGCTCGGCAGAACTGCAGGAGCCATTAACTGACCAAACCATGGAGGCAGTGTTAGGATTGTCACAGGCCTTCTACTCTGATGAGCCAGAGGGCTCCTCAAGATCCAGGTACATCCCAAGGAAGAAGTAGAAAATGGCACAGGGACTGCCAATTTTAGTTTGGCTGCATTGCTACAGGAGACTGGTCAGCGTGTTGCAGCTGAATTCCCTACCAGCCCAGTGTCAGTCTGCCCTGCCACAGTTAGGGCCTTGGGCTGGGATGCAGTAGAATGAGTGGACTTGAGTCTCCCCTACTCCTGCTTCCCTGTGGTGGAAGTCCTCCTTCTCTAGGCCAAGAAGCCTGCTTGCATTGGCCACACACCAGAGCTAGGATGCTCGGCCCTCTTGTTACTCAGTCTTGAATAAAACTGCCCATGCCACAGTCTCTTTACTGCCCTGCTCTGAGTGCCTGTCCTGTTCGCTGTTTGTTTATTGCTTGGCTCTGATTTCAGGTCTGCGCCTCAGACTCTTCAGTGTCCTGATTGTGGGTTAGAGACTGCAAATGACTGTGGCTCTGCCTGAACAGTTGCCCATGACTACAGCCTGCTTGTAACTCTGCTAATTCACAACTGTGGTTGATGCCCAGAGGCATAGTGAGGTGTTGTGGCCTCTCACTGATCTGGGGAGGACCACCGCTAACCCACCATAGTGCCATAAAACAGCCATAATTCTTCAGAACAGGTCACAATACGTATGATAAAACAAATATTGTTAATTAAATGTACAGTGTCCATTCTATGCACAGAATGAGGCAGGGGTCCTGTGGGAAAAATATAGTATGTGATTGTGTAATTAAAGATTGTCATAGTACATATGTACAAGGGATCAAAATCAGTTCTAGAATAGTACTGCTTTTGAGTTCTTGACTTTGCAGCCATGATGTATGTGACACACTGTACTTTGGTGGGGAGCCCTGTAACCACCCCTCCCCGTATTCATCATCTATATCTGATTGTGAGGTTGCATAGAAAGTATGCCTTGAGAGGTATCAGGGGAAAGATTATGATCAGCTGAGACCCAGTTTCATCTAAATATGTATACCATTAATGAATATGAAATTATTAAAATTGTTCTGTATGACTGTCACTAAAATATGTTGTGGGTTTGGGAAGTGCCCAGGTACTACCTGCCCAAAAGACAGTAACCAGGGGAATAACCAATGCCTGGACAGGTTTCAAATGGCATTATCCAGCAAGAAGCTACAATGCAATGATTTTCACAAGGCTGTATCAGGGGAGTTGCTCAGCCTTACCTGGTGACTCCGCAGTGCCAACTAGAGGTAACTGGACTTCTGTTCTCCAAGCACATGGACTGAGGATATAAAACAGAACATAGTGGCCCAGTACTTTGCCTTTTCTTTTCCCCTTACCTATGCTGCAATCAACAAGGTCTCTTAGAAGACTGACGACTCCAAAAGAGAAGGCTGTCCTCGGTTTCAGAGGCAACCTGTGTATTAAGAACTATAAGATTCAGTGGGGGTAAAAACATTGTTTGAGCTAACTAGTATCTAGTGTAATAAGGTTTAAGGTTCAGAGTTTGTGCTTATATTTTATTTTTATAACCATTCTGACTGTTTGCCTATCACTTAACCTAAAATCTGTCTTTCGTAAGCAATAAATTAGTTTTTACTATTTAACTTTACCCATGAGTTTGCTTGGAGTTCTTGGTAAATCCCTCAGATTTCTGAAGGCTAGTGTATATCCACTTGCCATTGATGAAGTGGTGAACCAATTAATAAACTTGAATTCCTCAGAAAAGGTCTTGAACAGTGCAGGATGGTATTATTCCTGAGGTACAAGGCAGGGAGTCGGGGCATTTGGCTGGTGCCCTTTCTTCGTGTGATTTCATGAGTGGCTCTGGGAGCAGTCATGCAATCTAGTAGGGTATGGGGCTTCACATGTGGTTGTGCTGACTGATGAGCCTTGAGAGATTTACCACTAGACACTTGCAAAGCATTGTGAGAGATAGTCCAGGCTGGAGAATTAAGAGGGGAGTGGTCCCACAGTCTGAAACTGCATCGCAGGGTTCCCATCCCAATGTACTTCTAATGTAACTGTGTGTAATAGATAGTTTACCCGTTTGTCATTATATGAAAAATATTATTTCATTTTCAGTTGATCTGTTTTGGCTCAAATAGTTAAGAGTTCACCCTTACGCATGATACAGTTTAACCAATGTTTTTAACTGTTTCTTAAAATACTAAAATTGTTACCATCACTCTAGATTATGTATTAACAAAATTGTTTGCGTTTTGCAGATTGCATTCATGACATTGACTTTGTTCCCCATCCGACTCTTTGTTGCTGCTTTTATGATGTTACTGGCCTGGCCTTTTGCATTCATTGCATCAATGGGATCTGCTGAGAGAGAACTTGAAAAGCCCCTCTCCTGGTGGCGAAAGTGAGTCACTGTATTCACTGATTTGATAAAGCATACACTAAGGTACAAAAAAAAAAAGATAACCATTATGTAACTTAGCAGCTTCAAGGAGGGAAATCCTGGAATAACCTGGCAATACTAGAGTTTTCCTTTCAATAGGGGAAAGTTAGGTTTGTGCCAGGTGTAAAATCTGTCACTTTAGCAGATTTTTCCCTAATGAGAAGTTAAAAATATGTGAATTGACTTTAATACTTATGTGCATTATCATTTGGTCCTTAGGTTACAGAGAAAGGGTGGATTTAACTTAGATTAGTGATATGCAATTTGTGCAGTTTTATTTTAATATTCTTTAACTTGAATTATTTCAATAAATAGCTATTTCTCCTTATTGAAACGAAGGATTTTTTGGGGGGAAATATTAGACCACTACAGTTACATAATTTTTAAATTAAGACCTCTACTAAAGTCAATACTTCATAAAAAGCATTCTTAATCTTAAGTCTATATCCAGTGATGGTTTTCTTGATGGTGACAACCAGTTTGCATTAATTGCTTCACATTTGAGGACTTCTGTGTAACAAAGATGCCTATAATACACAGGAGTTAAATAAAATATAGCTGAGCTAGATGCTATTGGCTTGAAAATGGCTTACCCATGTTCAGAAAATGAGAATAAAATAACTTGGTTTTGGTAAAATAAAACAATACTTGGGTTTGGAAGGATTAGATTTTTATTAGTAAATGTCAGTGAACATCAATTTCACTATCTAGGCACAAACCAGTAAAAATGCCTTTGATCAAAACTTGCATATAAACAAAGGAAAAAATTTGGTACAAATGAATTGATTTGAAAGATATTTACTTGATGTGATATTGACAATTTGTGTTTTTAAATGTTTAAAGCTTTAATTTGAATATATACAACATGTTTAAAATACTTTTTGTAACATTTATCACTTTTACATTATTGAAGTAGTGTAACCATTATCTAAATTCTTTACAGAGTAGTGGACTTCTTGCTGAAAGCAATCATGAGAGCAATGTGGCTTGCTGGAGGATTCCATTGGATAAATGTAAAGGGCAGACAGGCTTTACCAACAGAAGCAGCAATATTAACTCTGGCTCCACATTCCTCATATTTTGATGCCATTCCTGTGACCATGACTATGGCTTCCATTGTGATGAAGGCAGAAAGCAAAGATATTCCTGTATGGGGAAGTAAGTTCAGTTAATCAAAATTCTACTTTCCAAGTAAGATTAAAAATGAAGTCCTAGAAGTGTCATGACTGCATGTTAAATTTGGAAGATTAAGCATAGACCTTAAGTAAAGTAACAAAGTTAAGTTAGAACAAGTGAGGAAGTGAGATTTTTATCAGGCTGTTTTGATGTATTAAATTAGTTAACTGAAAAGTAAGACATAGTTGTTACAAAAGTTAAATGACTGTAGGAATCAAAACCAAACAATTCCACAGACTCCAGAGGTAAGTTCTGAATTCATATCCCTCAGAACATAGCATCCTGAGGGCAATGTGTAGACTGGAAGAGAAGAGGGAGACACAGCTATTACAAATTCTGATATGCAAGGATACTGTAAAACAAGTCCACCTAGAATTCCTTTCACAAGAACTGCTTCCTCAAGCGGAAAAATCAGGAAAGGAAGGGATCTAAGTGAAATGGAAGGACACATTTCTTCTTTTTCATCCCTCCTACTCTAAAAAGTTGGCTCTCAGTAATGTGGTTACAGATTTGAGAGAGGCAGCTCGAGGTCATTTGGAGTTTCATCATTAGAAAGAGAGATGGCTTTTAAGATCCCACTAACTTCTCTATCTTGCACAACAGGTAAACAAATGTCTAGTAAGTGTGGAAAGAAGCCTATGATTGGGGTATATATTGATGACGTAAGGAGGTATCGGAGAGAGGTTGTAGAAGCTGAATTCAGACTGTTAGAAAGATGTAGGGTTAGAGGTCCCTGGTCAGAAGCATTTAGATAAAGCTATTAGTTTTCATGCACACAGGCCAGATACATTGAGATGCTGAGCACTCTCTGTCTATGGATATAAAGATCTATAGAAAATGGGGTTAAATTAGGGACTGGGTGTGGAACACTCCCAGAAAGAGAGCATCTGTACAGATAGGATGAATTCCACCTCAGAAACCAGATGGTGGGTACATATGACTATAAAGTTTTGGGGACATGGTTAAACTAGAAGTTTGAGCAGAATTGACAAGTGTTGAGCAATCAAGTCTGATGAAGACATCTGTTAGAGATGTCAGTGACATTGATGTATCTCTGTTCCAGGTAAAGGATAGATTAGAACTACAGCAATACAGGAAACAGCAAAGTCACTATTTAATCAAAGTCAGAATACTAAAGAGTTTTGTAGTATTTGTAGAGGTAGACACGTGGTTTAAAAACAAAAACTACAGATTTCTGAATGTAAATTAATGAAGCCTAAAAGCAAAAATAGTTTGTCTGAAATAGGACCTTTCTACAATAGTAATTACTAAAATGTGGTGGACTGACAAAAATGGGTGGAATTTAATATCTGCCTAAGTGTCACTTAGGAAGGCTAGATTGTGTTGAAGGTGTGAGAGTAACTTTATGTAAAAGCAACGAGAAGTCCCATGGCACATTAGAGACTAACAAATATATCCTGATCTTTCACGGGTAAAATCCTGGGATGGTGTCATTTGTATAGATATGTGGACGGAGCCAGACAGGTATCCAGAAATTGCATACTTTAAGGCAGGCCCATTTAAGGAAAATGACAGAACACCACTGGTCAGCACTTGCAGCCCCTCAGGTTAAATCCTTCCTGTGCATCATTTACAATCTACAACCTGTCTTGGAAAATGACCAGGGAGAGGAGAGCTGCTCCAGCTGCACTGCTGGGGAGGAGTGCTGGAGCTAGGTTAAAAGGGTGGGAGTGACTTGGGGCCATGGAGAGCGCAGCTGGGCTCAGTGCAAGATTAACAGGCTCTCTGGACATGACAGCAGCCAGCGAGAGGGATGTTGGCAAGTGTGGCGAGCAGGGGGCACAGCCCCTAGTATATGTTCTAGATTAACTTTTCTTCTGAAGTGGTGGTTTCATTCTGTAGGTCATCCTTCCAAGTCCTTGTTTTCTCCATAAATATTATCAACAGTTTTCTTCCTATGCCTAGAAAAATGGGAAACTGTATCATAGCCTGTCAGTACATGGAAGGAAAGTATTGTTCCTATGTCTGCTTGATGAAATACAGTCAGAAGCTTCTCACACAGTATACACAAGAATGTGAATGAAAAAAACAAAATACAGCAAGGCATCTTATTAGGTTTCCACTACCAGTAGAATATTAGTGTCTTGTGCTGACATGATTTAGTCAATCTCTATATGCATACTG